TTCTTTTTTACATTTTCTGTTTTTCTAATAATTGAAATACAGCTTTCTCCAATAGGCGCCTCAGTACACTCAGTACCCACTGTACATCTTTGTTGAAAAGTGTCTCTGAAACGCAGTCTTCGTCTCTTGTTTCGCATTATTATCTTAATATCTTCGTTCCATTCATGAACGATTGGTTACGTACCTTCACTATAACATTTTCAATAAAAAACAAATTTGCAATAACTTACATATCTTTTCTGCGCTCACGGACAAGCCTCAGCATTTAAACTGTGAAAGAGATCGACTGTGTTGCTCATCAAGGAGCGAAGTGCAACTTCCTATTTTTCTTAGCGTTAGCGAAAAAATCAGCTTTGTGCTCCTTTAATTTTGGTTGCAGGTTTTTGCTATTTTCTTTCAGCATTAAAGCACTAGCTGGCCAGTTCTTACTTAGCATACGGATAAACCCACAATAAAGAGTTTTCTCAATTTCGGGCAGCTCTAGAGTTTTTCCTTTTTAGGTGTAAAAAATGTATCGTTTACGCATTTTAAAATCAATTGTCGTATTGTTTTATTGCCAGAATTTGTGAATTTAGCAACGTTGTATTTCTTCGCTAAGATCGTCACACTCGACCCTTTTTGTAAATGACTGAGAATTTCAGCTTTTTCCTTTAATGTCAAACACACAAAACATGTAATTTACTATTAAGAGATTCCCCAAGTTCAGAATTATTTGAGGTCGATGCATAATACATTCAAACATTGAAACGTTTATTGTTCATGTTTCAAAACTATATTGCCTTGTTCCCGTTTTAGAGTAGCCAATGCAAAAAAAGTGTTTTTACGTATCTGGGTGTTCACGTTTTTAAGCGTGCGCTGTATTTTACTTTCCAGAATGTAAAGCAAGCATTAATGAATGTATCGGGATAAAACTTTGGGTGAAGAATGCGTTTAAAGTATCCCACCTTGTGACTAAAAATTGTCTAAACAAGTAAAATTGTTCAAACCCCTAGGTACTGAATATGTGGATCCCAGTGCATATAGTTGACTTTTTACCGAATATATCGGTTAATGTGTAAGATATATAATTTAAATTCATGCAATAAAATAAATAAATAAAACTCTCGATAATAGTATGTTTTTGTGTCAAAAATGCGTTGAATCGGATCAATACTTCCTTTAATATAAAATTTTGCTAACACCTGAAGTAATTTCCCGAGCTTTGATCCTTGCAAGTTGCGAGAGTATAAAATGTACGGTTACACCAGAACTTAGCTCTTCCTTACTTGTTTTCTGTTAGTAAAATGTAGTTATGTGAAAAATGAATAAAATCAATATGAAGTTTTTCAATAGGGATGATGTGATTTCTAAGTGTCGTTTCGGCCATTTTTAATATGATCTGTAATTTTTTTTTTATTCAGTAATGTTTATAATCTTATCATGGAAAGATATAAGCAAGAACAACGTGTACAAGTTATTCAATTTTATTATCAAAATAATCGTTCTATATTTGCAACTTTTCGTGCGCTTTTGCCATTTAATGGTCGTAATAATGGTCCACCTGTGCTCACTATTCGTCCAATTGTTGAAAATTTCGAGCGTGCATTTTCTTTACATAATGTTCAAGTGCCAACCGCTCGAAGTAATGAAAATATTAAAGCTGCTCAGGCAGGTGTTGCTGAAGACCGCAATTTGTCGATTCCAAGACGTTTTCAAGAATTGGGACTGTCTTAAACCACAACGTGGCGGATTTTGAGAAAGGATTTGGGCTTGCATCCGTATAAAATTGTTCTCACTCAAGAACTGAAGGCATGGGACCACCGTAAATGTTGTGAATTTGCTGATTTTGCCTTGGAGCAACTTGAAAACAAGAACGATTTTTTTAAGAAAATGTCGATTTTTTTGCGAAGAAAATCCACAAATTATTCATGAACAACCATTACATTCACCTAAATTGACAGTTTGGTGTGGTGGAATCATCGGTCCGTACTTCTATCGAAATGAAGCTGGTGACACCGTTATTGTCAATAGAGAGCGGTATAGATCGATGGTAACCAACTTTTTATGGCCACAATTGGAGAAGTTGCTCTGGACAATATCTAGTCCAACAAGACGGGGCTACGTGCCACACAGCACGTGCAACAACCGTATTATGACGAGAAACCTTTTGAGATTCGATAATTTCAAGAACTTGTGCCTTTGAATGGCCTCAAAAAGGTGGGGTTATTTGAAGAACAACTTGATTTAGTGGAAAAAGTACTCGAAAATTGGGTTCATCAAATTCGTTCCTGCAAAAAAAGTCGAGGAGGCCATTTAAATGATAATATATTCAGAACCTAATTGTATCGATTGTACTTCATATTAAATAAAAACCATTTGAATCTCCTTAACAATTAGTCTGTTTTTTTTTTTAATAATATCACTCTTATTGGAAAACTTTATACCTTATAAAGTGATTTTCGGGGTCCCACTTATCTTTAAACCGATTAGGTTGGAAAAATGTGTGATATTTAGAAGAATTCAGCCTCTTCGCTTGAGTTTATGAAAAATAAGTCTTATTTGAGGATGATTTCAATATAAATTTCAGTGATGGGAAATAAAATATAATTATAAAACTAATAAATTATAATAAATAAACTTATAGGTCATAGACTAAACCTATAATATAAGTTAAAAAGATACAAATTTGATTGCATTCCATTCACGATTTCGTCAAACAATGAATGTTGAGTTCTTTTGCAAATGTTTTAAATGAAGTTTTGCTAACACCTGAAGGTATTTCCCCGGCTTTGATTCTGGCAAGTTGCAAAAGTATGAAATGTTCGGTTAGACCCGAACTTAGAACTGCCTTACATGTTTATTATGTAAAAATTGCGACGATCCTACAAAAATTTATTCTCACATTGATCAAGTATAAGCTATCTTTGACTGATCGAGAAGCCACCGAGAGTTACAGCTGTCAGAAAAAACAAAAATTGGAAATAATGCATTGCGGTGTACTGTGCTAACCTTAAACCCAGCACACCTCCATCGAAAAATGTATAATATCTCGACTCTACAAAAATGGCTAGACTAGCACTAAAAGGGAGGTGCTCGCTAATCGGAAGAGAGTTCGAAATTTTACAAAAAAAAGACAGCGACTACAGCACCCTGTTCAGAACCGAGCGAAAATAACAAAAGGACTTAGACAAATCCTTTCATCTAATTTGTTAACTTAAGTGAATTATATAAACAGACGATGGACCCACATGCAAAATGATCGGGTAGGAATATTTTTTTACTTTAAAATTGATTCAACATTTTTAATTTAAAAATTGGAGTAACAAAACAAGATATCAAATCAAAAGCTGGATTTGCCATAGAAACCGACCGATCAAAATTAAGTTCTCGTATGAATTTTTATACTCTCGCAACATGTTGCTACAGAGTATAATAGTTTTGTTCACCTAACGGTTGTTTGTATCACTTAAAACTAATCTAGTTAGATATAGGGTTATACATATACATATAAATAATCATGATGACAAGATGAGTTGAAAGATGATCAGGATGAAGAGACGAGTTGAAATCCGGGTGACTGTTTGTCTGTCCGTCCGTCCGTGCAAGCTCTAACTTGAGTAAAAATTGAGATATCTTTATGAAACTTGGTAGACATGTTTCTTGGTACCGTGAGACGGTTGGTATTACAGATAGGCGTAATCGGACCACTGCCACGCCCACAAAACGCCATTAATCAAAAACAAATAAATTGTCATAACTAAGCTCCGCAATAAGATACAAGACTGTTATTTGGTACACGAGATCACATTAGGGAGGGACATCTGCAGTTAAAATTTTTTTTTAAGTGGGCGTGGTCCCGCCCCTAATAGGTTTAATGTACATATCTCCTAAACTACTAAAGCTATAATAACAAAATTCACTGGAAACAAATGTTTTTAGCACCATTACCTACGGTGTGAAAATGGGTGAAATCGGGTGAAAACCCCGCCCACACCCCATGTAACGGTACTGTTAAAAACTACTAAGAGCGCGATAAATCAAGCACTAAACACGCCAGAGACATTAAATTTTATCTCAGGGATGGTATGAGATGACTTTATAGGAACCGCGTTCAAAATTTGCAGTGCCTATAGTTGACCTTCTACCGAAAATATCAGTCAATCCGCAAAGAAATCTCAAACGAGTATACCATTTGACTTTGCGAGAGTATAAAATGTTCGGTTACATCCGAACTTAGCCCTTCCTTATTTGTTTTATTTGTGAAGGATATTCTAGTTTCGGTTAACGCTTTTTTCTAACTTTTAATTTGCTTTAGCAAATATTCCTTGTTCAAAATGCTGATATTTTAATTTATTATACAGTAAGTAAGACATCGCACAGGAGTGACTCTTTCTAATGATGAGCTAATTAGCTGAGCAAGAGGAAAACAAAATATATTGACAGTAAGGCTTTCGAATAAGGGATGGATTTGACTGAAATGTTGGAAAAATTTATTGAAAATTATTCAAATTTTGACATGAGTTCAAAATCAAGACGGGGTGTTATAGATGCAAAAAAGAAAACGCAAACTACATTAACATAGATGCCTTCTTGACAAAAAGTAGAAAATTGGAAAAACCAAAACAGACTAAATGATCTGACTAATTTAGAATTTTATTTGTTTTTATAAGTATATTCGTTTATATTGTTTTTATTTTTATAAGAAATAATTGTTTGGTTTAATTTTTTTCAAACTCAATTACTGCCAATTTTCTATCTATCTTCCCCTAACCCCCTTATTTACATGTTAAGATAGTCTCGTTTAGTGCTGTATCATATAACGCTCTTATTTGATGGGACGTTTCCTATGTGTTAAGCGGGGTCTTACTATTGTATATTTTGACGCATTACTAAAGAGTCTTTCGGCAGAAGCAGAAGATGGTAAATACATGTTGTGTATGGTTTTTTAATTTCTATATTTATTAATTAATTTTTAAGCCGATGCTTATGATTAAAAAATTTATTTTTAATTTTTCAACCAGGGATTTGTGGACGACGGAAGCCAATCTTCGACGAACTGGCCAGACTAGATATACATATTGGGCTAAAACTAACTTTCTCCAAAACGATCCCAAATTTATTTAGATAAAAACAGAGACTACATTTCGGGAAACAAAACTATATCACTCTGGTACAATGTTTACTAATAGCATAAGTTTGCTAAAAAAAAAATTTACTTCAGTTTTGCTCTTAAATATTGTTAAAAAAGAAATGAGAATAGTACTATACATTTGATCTATGGCACCATGGACCGAACAGTGTTTGTAAAGATACTAGAGGATGTTATGTTACCATTTTCCAGCTGGGAAATGCCTATAAAAAAAACATTTGAGCAGAATAACGGTCCAAAACATGCGAACAAACTAGCTAAGAAGCGTTTTGCATAAAAAAAACGCCCTAATGTCCTGGCCAACGCAGGTACTGGACCTGAATCCAAACGAAAATGTATAGGGAAATATTAAACAAGTTTTAGCAAAAGCAGATCGATCAAATAGAACACAACTTTCGCTAATGGTCAAGGAGGCATGGCATGGATGTATTAAAAAAAGCTTTACAACCAAATATTAGTCAATCGAAAACATTTAGTATTTAAAATTTTAGTTGTTAACTAGATGTTTTTCTGTTTTACTTTCAACAAAATAGGCACTATTATTTTCGTGAAAAGAGTAATTTTTTAGTTTATTTTTTTAATAAATCTTGGTATAAAAAAAACATACGTATATTGAAAATATAAAACTATGTATATACGTAGAAACAGCTAAAATTTACTTTTAAATGTTATTGAAATCGTAGTTTGTATATTTAACTTAGCTAACACAGCTATAGGTAATCGCGTGGACTAATTTACATTGTAATTTCATTTTTATTTTGGACAAAAATATCAGCAAAAAATTATTTCTTGGTTTTTCCATATTTTTGTTGGTATTGGATAGTTTTAGATATTTATGTACATACTTTAGGTCGAAATCTCATTTTATAAACTTGTTTTTACTATTTTACAGTTTTTGTGAAAACTTTTAAGTCATTATAAACCATCGGAACCTTTATGTGATTGAGTTTTTATTGTCAGCGACTTTTGTTGATTTTCCCCCTATTTAAGTATGAAAATCGCGACTACAATTCATAACCCGTTTGCTCACACAAATACATACATACGTAATTACAAAATAATAACCCCACGCGTCGAAGCGAATGCAAAAAAAACAGAAGCTATAATACCCTTCACAGAACTTGATTCCGATCGTAAAATTTGTATGGCAGCTATATGATATAGTGATATAATCTGAACAATTTCTTCGGAGAATACATTGTTGCCATAGACAATAACTCGTGCTTAATTTCGTGAAGATACCTCGTCAAATGAAATAGTTTTCCATGCAAGCACTTTATTCTGATCCTTCAGTTAATATGGCAGCTATATGATATAGTCATCCGATCTATAAAATTTCTTCGGAGATTGAATTATGGACTTAATCCATGCTAAATTTCGTGAAGATACCTCGTCAAATGAAAGAGTTTCCTATACAAGTACTTAATTCTGATTGTTTAGTTTATATATACAAATGCTATGGTGGCCCGATGTCGCCCGTTCCGACAAATGAACAGCTTCTTAGTGAGAAAAGGACAGGTGCAAAATTTTAGATCGATATCTTAAAAACTGAGGGACTAGTTCGTATATAAACAGAGGGACAGGCAGACGGACATGGCTAAATCAACTAAGCTCGTCACGATCATTTATATATATATTTTATAGGGTCTACGACGTTTCCTTCTGGCTGTTACAAACTTCGTGGCAAACTTAATATACCTTGTCCAGGGTATAAATACCAAAAAATTAGTAATAACAACAGATCCTAACAATGACAACAATAATACAAACCCACCGGACGTGTTCATTTGAATTTATTGAACAAAGGAATGAATGGCATAGAAATAAATTAAATAATTTCAATATAATATGCTCATGATTATTCTATCTACTCTTGGTGAGCTAAAAACCGCATGTATGTATGTATGGTTGTTTATAATTGGGGTTATGTGAGTGGAACGTTGGAAGTTGAAGAGAGACATATCAATTATTAGGCATCGGGTGTTTCACGCTGGGCGGTGAGTCATATGGTGCTTTATTGGTGTTGAAAATACTACAATGCACAGAAGAGTCCTTACTTTTTCAAAAAAGATCGGCTAAAAATAAAACTGCATTCCTGTAACGATTTATTGGTAAGAAAACCATACTCAATCGATCATTGAAGTTGACGCTGACTATTTTATTCTATATTAACGGTGCCGGTTATACTTTTAATGTTTTTATCTTGCTTTATTAAATTATCTAAGTATTTAGTGAAAATAAGAACAGAATAATTTGTTTTTTGTTTTGATAAAATATAATATGAAGAATAGTTGCAATAATATGGAAATTTTTATTAATACATACTTTTAGATAGAATTAAAACATTTAAATAACAAGTAAGAAAGGGCCAAATTCGGGTGTAACTTGCAAGGATCAAAGCCGGCGAAACACTTATACATAGGTGTTGGCATTCAACATTCATTATTCGACGAAATCGTGAATGAATAACAGTCAAATTTGGTATCTTATTAATATATATTGAAGATCAGGATGGAAATTCTTTATATTAGGGATATGAGGTTTAGACCAATTCCATTCATATTCAGTGGTAAACCAGATATTTTTCAATGAAATCTGACGGGCTGATTGCATTATGTAATTTGAACATTGCTCAGGTACACTAGAGAACATATTTTCAATTAATTTTATAAATAAGTATATAACTCGCACACTGGACGACATATTCATCATACGGATTGTTAGAATAACGAATATGTAGTATATGGGAGTGGGTGAATTCGTATATATGGTATAAGGCTAACCGGTAATGTTTTCAACGTTAACACTTACAATTAAATTTAAAGAAAAAATAGTATGGTATTATGAATATTTTTATTGTAATTGATTAAAATGTTTACTTTCAACATTTTTATTACCTCACGCTGTTTCATCAGCATTTTTATTTAAGTTTGATCGAAGTTGCCTCCGAAGATGTAATTTAATAAATAATAGCGCTAAAGTGCAGAAATATATTTAAATATGTAGCTAAAATTAGAAACATATCATTTTAATTATATGATTAACATTTTAAAAGCTACAAGTTAAGTCTGCTAAAAAAACTATCTGACTCAAAATACTATAAATAAAGAAGCTGAAAAATCGTGATTGAGACCTGTCAAAACGTTAGAGAACAGCTACATTCACAATTTACTATGTATCATGGAGTAATTATACGAATAAATGTTTTGTGATTGCATTCACATTATTTATTTAATCACTTCATGTAATGCAATATGTGTGTATAATTTTGATAAATAGAAAAGAATTCGCACTATCAAATTTAGCTACTGGAAATTATTTTGTTATTCTTTGCTTCCTGTTTGATTTTATAGACATAAGCAGTTTGGACAAATGTCTAAGCCGACTTTCCGGGTTATTTTCTAGATAGAAACAAATATTGCTAACATTATGAAAATCCAAAATCAAAATAATTATTACTATAATATATAAACCATGACAACTCTGGTACTTGTTCGTACTTATTTAAACTAAAGTGTATACAAGTATAATGCATAATTTTGTTATAACGTTGACGTCTCTCTGGTCTCAAACAATAAGTGTTAATAACATTCTTATTTGTAACCTGCCCAATAACATTTGGTCAAAATGGTGCGACAGATACCAAGTGAACTTGTGGCCAACTTCTTTCATGAAATTTACTAATTTTCAACCAAAAAGCTGAAAATATATCGATCATATATTGTTGAAAACATAGAGCTAAAATTAACGGCCAAGCAACCGAACTTAACCTCAAGACTTTTTTTCACACATATTCAACGGCAGTGGTCATAATAACATACACATATAACTACACATACACATGTAAGGCAACACATTTCCACTCACATACAAATCATCAACATCTGCAATTCAACCAAGCGAGTGAAAAAGTGCAAACTCTAACAACAATCGAAATAGCAGCCATACCCATTTGTATGACAATGTCTGTATGTGCATATGTACGAGTATGAATGTATAAACTTATAATTTTATGGCTTATGCTTTTCACTACAATCAGTGCATAACCCTCTACTGCTACGCTTTTGGAACGACACCAATGAATGCAGACAGCGGTCCATGTTTTGAACTCAACATGTGTTTCAATGCCTTTCCATATAAACAATAAAATTCATTATTTTACCATCATCAGAACCATAGCGCCCCCTTTTCATTAGATCTTCTTTGTATTGATGTTCATGCGTATGTATGGTCATATATACGAGTTAATGACATACATATACATATGTATATACTCAAAGTTGTAATAGTATACAAAAAAGTTTGAACCGACTGAAGCTATTATTTATCTACATATCTATGTAATTATATGTTTTAATAATAGATTAAAATTTCTCATCATAAAAATATTACTTTTCATCAACACGAAAAGTACCATCAGTTCCCACTCGAAATTTTTATTTAAACTGAAACAAAGCAACATCCTTCTCCTATTTGCACTGACATAGTCAATTGTTTATTTCGCAGTCAAATAACTAATAAATTTTAATGAGATGCTTCTTATATCCTGCTGAAAATCTCGAAACTGTATTTTTCAAATCGGGCCACTACGGTACTCGGTTATAGTTTTACTATACCTTGCAACTTTTTTATAAACAATTTACTGCTAATTTTTTCGTTTTCTTCCTAAGGAAGTAAATTTTTTAAAGATCCGTCCGTGTATAAAGGTCAAATGTTTTAAAATTAAATCAACATTGGGGAGCGCCCGTCTGACACCTTGTACAAGTAAAAAAATTATAGGAAGGTTTATAGCTCAAACAGTCACCAACATTCCTGCCTTTCGTACTTACCTCCTTACGAACTTACCGTTCGAACCAAATTTGTCAAAAGTTATGCCCATTGTGGCAACGCAGAAGTCAGTTGTTCTCTTTTGTTTTCATTTTACCAATGTTGCCATTGTTCTATTTGTATACACGATTTTTGACACATTTAGTTTTTTAGTTATAATTTTTCATAATTTAAAAGCTCAAAACTAAAATCCAACTATTAAAAAGTAAGGAAGGGCTAAATTCGGATGTAACCGAACATATTATACTCTCCCAAAATCAAATGATATACTCGTTTTCGATTTCTTTGTGGATTGACTGATATTTTCGGTAGAAGGTCAACTATAGGCACTGGGGTCCACATATTTAGTACTTAGCGGCTTTAACAGTTTTGGTTCGATTTAGACAATTTTTGGTCACAAGGTGGCATACTTTAAACGTGTTATTCACGCAAAGGTTTACCCGATATAATCATTGTTGCTTGATATGCATAGTGGAAAGTGAAAGAATCAGATGGAATTGAAAATGGTGTTATATGGGAAATAGGCGTGGTTGTAGTCCGATTTTGCCCATTTTGGCACTATGACATAGAAATATGAAAAGGTTGAAATCGGTTAAGCAGATCCCAAGATATGGGTTTTCACCTAAAATTGGGCGGTGCCACGCCCACTGTTTAATTTTGAACGCGGTTCCTATAAAGTACTCTCATACCATCCCAGAGATAAAATTTAATGTCTCTGGCCTGTTTAGTGCTTGATTTATTTCGCTTTTAGTAGTTTTTAGCAGTACTGTTATATGGGGAGTGGGCGGAGTTGCCACCCGATACCCACTGTAGGTAGAGGTTGTAAA